GTTATGTAATATGCACTTTCATGGCTTTGAGAATTATTCTATATTTAGTCTTGAATCTTGATTACTTTTTATTTTTTAAAAAATTGTTTTAGTACTATGAATGATTAGTCTATGTTAATTTTTCTATTTTTTATGAAGACTGTGCGCCTTACTTCAATAAAGCCCGCGCCTCGCCTTGCGCCTTGCGCCTAGGCCCAGGCCCCGAGAGACCTTCAGCGCCTTAGTGCGCTTTGAGCCTTTAAAAACACTGCATCTAGCTATACATTTGAATTTCATAGTGATTAGTATACTAATTTCTATAAAAAATTTGCATGTTAGTTTAATATCAATGGTTAGAGATAATGTTTATTGAATTTGAATGAGTTTTGGTGGTATTGTTAGTTTAGCGATGATGGATAATTGATAACTTATGAAGCACAGGCATGGGTACGGGTACGAGTACTGGTACTGATAAATCTAAAAAAATTAGACGGTTTGGTACATTTGTAAAAAAATATTTATTTTTAATTTGGAGTAATGCAAAAATTGGTTAAAATGGATTAATTTGTTAATATCCAACCTACAATTAATATTTAATGTCAAAAGTAAAAGTATAAACCAAAATTAAATGTCATTATATTAAATAACTTACAAACCATATATTAATTTAAATCGTGCTAAGCATAAAACTAAAATGAAATAATGACATGGGTACTAAAATGAATTATTAGGTACGGCTTGGGTATATACTAGGTATATACCTTTCACTAGACTTGGGTATACCCAAATACTAGGTACGGTATGACTTGGGTACGGTACGACTATACCTAAACGTACGGTACGGCCATTTGGTGTACCCATGATTTCATGCTATACCATTTGGATACCCATGATTTCAAAATGATTTCATGCTATACCGCGATTTCATACTACACCGTACCATACGGTATGATTTGAGTATATATTAGATACATCTGGGTATACCAAAAATTAAGAAGAAAAAATTTGCATACGTGTTTCGTGTATCTGGTACGTTTGCAGAAATACCATATGCCAATAAGTATCCAGTACAGGTACAACATGTTTGTCAAAATACCCATGCTTTATAGATGATAATAATAGATGAGTGTGATAAACTAGTAATTAATTATTGAAAACTTTGTAACTTGAAAATAAAACATTTTAAGAAAGTATCTATTTTTAGGGAATTTAAAGATAAATGATGGAAATAAAGTGCTTTGTAAAGGAATGTGAATTTTAATTAGTGTTGAGAAACTTGGAAGTTGAAATTGGTTGAGTTTTGATATATTTTAGAGTAGTGATTTAGCTTTGGGCTTGTTTTCTTTGTTTGGGGCTCGTTTGGCCATTTGGTTAGTTGTGTACCTTGTAGCATGGATGGGTGCCACGTCATTCCATCGGTGAGAGCCCGTAAACCCACGTAGGGTTGATTTCTCCATAGTCCTTTGGTCTAGTAAGCCATGAATATGGGATTAGGGACTTGAATAGTCACCTAGGTTGAGGATATGACTATGTTCTAGTTAGACTCGACGGGGTTTGACGAGGTTGGTGAGATATTTCATTGATTTTCGATACTATCAATTTTGTCTTGAATTTTGAAATACTTGCGTAGTATGATATCATCCTACTAACACTATAACAAAGATAATAAGGGTTGGTTTGGGAATAGGCTATTTTAATAACTTTTTGGCTTTTTAGCTAAAATATGAGGTGAAAAAAATTATTATGTTTTGGATATTTTTTGGTTTTTAAAGAAAAAACGTGCAAAACGTAGAAAGGAAAGGAAAACTCTCTTTTTTTGTATAGTTCTTTCATCTTTTGGCTTATTTTAGTGGCTTTTTGGCTATTATTGAGATAATATGATTCTTGCATGTAATTTATTCATTTCAAATGTCTTAGATGATTATTGGTGAGACATATTTGCTCACCCCCTACCATTTTAGGTACTCCACGTCCAGCAACAGAGTTGGGCGGTCATGCCTAACAATTAATTATTTTGCAAACTTACACATGTATATCCATGCTTAATTATATCTAGGCCCTTTTTGAGTTATTATTTTGGGCATCGGCATGTAAACCTAACTAGTTTGTTTATGAACTTGTAAAATTAGTTAGTTAGCATGCTTATATTAGTTGGATGTTTATGTGATTTGCATTTTGGGGTTGTGAGCTCATTCGTGGCTTTTAAAGCCTAAACTTGGGAGTTCTAACTTCATGACTGAATTTTAATTATCTTGTGTATTGGTATTTTATTCTAAGCAATTGTTATGAGATTTGAGCTTATGAACATTTGAAGTTACAGAAATAATATTTTATTTAAATTTGTCCCAAATTGGATTTCATCACTAATAAAATATTTGGGAGTTATTTGACTCCTTCATGTCATATTCTTCTAAATCTAAACTTTATCGGGTTCAATCACCGTAATTATTATAAATTAGTAATAATCCACCAGCTTATAAACCGGGGTGTGACAGTACCAAGGCAAACAGCCCACTCAAGCAACTCCCAATCCCGTTCGAGCTACCCCTTCTTCAGCATTCTCCATTGCATTTGTATATTGCGGACAAAAGTGAACCAATCATCTAATTGCCTACTCAAGTGGGTTGTATAGCCACATGATCAACTTCTTCACTCCTTTAGTAATAAGGGCTCTATCACCTCATCAATCTTCCACTTGGAGACTGATTCCAGACACGAATAAACTGCAAGCCTCAACTATTTATATCATCACAAAGTAACACAGCAACTCAATCCTCCATTTTCAAGTGCCAAGACCAACTGAAGTTGAACACAACTTTAGTTTCTCAATGATAACCACCCTGGCCATCATATCTGCAGGATTTTCTTTGCTGTGAATCTTGTCTAAACTAAATTGCCATCCTCAAAAAGCTATCATACAAAAAGATATTTGATGTCAATATGTTAGTCCTCATGTCAAACAATGAATTCTTTACAAGATGCATCACAATGTAGCTATCATTGTAAAACTTGCAATCCTCAAGCTTCATGCATCTATTTCCAAGCTTCTCTCCTTGCAACATATCTTGTGTCTATAGTGGAGATGGTCATAACCTCTGTACCTAAGAGACCCATCTAGCTGCAATGCTTCCAAGAGTAAACACATACACCATCCGCTTCTTTCTACTAATGTCACCTGCTACATTGGAGACAGCATATACATGCCCTAAATATCCATTTGATAGCTTCTCTATATTCCTTTCCTTCCCAATGCCCCTTTCCTAAATTGTACATGCATCCACTGACAACTCCTGTATAAGCGACGTTTGGCTTGTACAGAACATACATCAAATTGCCAACAAATTAAGCATTCAGAACCTACACCATGGACTCACCCTCGTGTTGTTTCATATTGTTCCTTCGTCAATATAAAATGGCTTGCTAACTAAATTGGGTCCCAAGAAGCTCCCCAGTTGTTAACTAAATTGTTCACTGATGGTGAGGAGGAACATAAAATATGAAAATTCATGCAACTTTTGAATCAATTTTTTTTATTTAATTTTATTTATTTATTTGGATTGGCACCAGGGTGTCCAAATCAAAGCCCGACTAATCCCCAGGAGTGCACAGGCCCTCAGCAACTTTTGAATCAATTTTGCAACCAAATGACACTAGAGGAACCTAAATCAAGCACAGATGCACACAACTTTCTTAAGAAAAATCACTTCACAAAATTTTTGTAGTGAAAAAAATTTATATGAAGAATCTATGAGAAAAATTAGTTGGGACTTATCCAATAGTGAAAAATATTTATATAAATATATATATTCAGTTGTGTATATCAAAAAGAGAACCACATGCACATCATGCGAAGAGTAATTATATATTAGTCCCAAAGTTGTTCCTCCATCCATTGTTTCCACAGAATAACTTGTTTTGCCCATTTTGGGGAATAAATTGAGATGGTTTGGTCATACACAACAAAGGTAGTAGTGAAGAGATGTGATACAGTGACGGGAGATGGAAGTGTTAGGGGAAGAGACAAACCTAAATTGACATGAGCTAGTGTAGTAAATAAAGATATGAATCTCCTTAATTTGACTAACCAAATGGCCTTTGATAGAATCGAGTGAAGAAGAAGAATTCACGTAGCCGACCCCATTTGATAGAAGTTAAGGCTTGGTTTGGTTTGTTGGTATTGATAAGTAAAATTGTAATAGAGAAAATGCCAAGGGGATACTACTCTTTTAAGAGAGAAATGTGTACTAAAATATTATTTTAAAATATATAAATATAAATAAGCACAAACCACCTCTCCTACTCCACCTTGAAGCACCCCCTAGCCTTCAAACGGGTAAATTCTTCATAAACCCTCTTCTTACTGTTTGTAATTTTACCTAACACCACCAAACATAACCATATATTTTCGGCACAAAATTCTAAGAAACAAGGGGCTTTCTTATGACGAAAGTATAAAAAGAGATCTTTAATTTTACTTTTTGTCCATTAGTAAAATGAAGTTTGAATGTAATTATCCTTTTCGTGTGTAAACAAGAATGCCAAGGTGATGAGAAACAACCAGATTGCCTGAAGCATTAGCATCCCATTCAAGCTTCCCTTAAAACTCTCAAACATCTTAATGCTATAGTGTGAGACTTTTGAGAAAGGCCATAGTGTTCTGCATTGTTGAATTCGAGTTTGTTTACAAAGGCCTACGAACTAAGATGCAGAAGAATGTTTGATACTAGCCTCCAGAGTTTTAGACCTTTTAATAAGAACAGAGTCTAATATAGTTATTGGTTTTGTTTAATGCATTTCTCATTTTTTTTAGTTAAGTAAATGTTCATTAATAAGAAAGGATCCAACTCAAGTACATATGATGCTTGGTAGTAGTTAATGCAATTAAAATTTGAACTAATTAATATCTATTCCAATTGAATTAGGACACCAGGTGTCCTACTGTATGCCCAAAGTAAAGAATCAGAGTACCAGGTCAAATGATAGAAGAAAGAAAACCAAAAGAGGCATTGTCAAAAAGTTACCCGGTGAATAGAGAAATCATTGTAACTTTTGAGCTCCTCAGTTACTCGGTGCAAGGTACATTCAAAGCCAAACACTCCTTGAGGATGCAACTTTTTAGCAAACCGAACAACGTCCTCATCTGTGTAAATACGCCGCACCAGTAAAGGATGATTTGCAATCTAGAATAGGAAAAGTACACTTATCAGAAAGAAAAGTAAATACAGTCAGATCCAAAGCATTTAGGTTTAAAGCAAATGTAGTGAAAAAGAATCTGCAGCACCTTACGAAACTGAACAAAATAGTTTGAAATTTGACGTTGAGGAAGAATGCCAACAGCATTATTAGAGTCATCCTCTGAAAACTTTAAAACACGAGCTCGTGTAGCTGCACGATACTCCTCAATGGCCGCGTTATAAGCATCATGTTGTTGTTTTTCCATCTCTACATACTCAACCTGCAGCAATATATTCTATCCCTTGAATAACAGGTAAAAACAGCAAAAGGCATTTCCAAATAATGAGATAAAGAAATAGGCATTTCCAGAAACCACAATACTAGTTGCAAATAAAACAGAAAAATGTAGATGTGCCATAAAGCCAAATAATGAGATACAGAAATAGGTGTTTCCGGAAAACCACAATACTAGTTGCAACTCCAACAGAAAAATGGATATGTGCCACAGAGCCAAATAATGAGATAAAGAAATAGGTGTTTCTAGAAAACAACAATACTAGTTGCAACTTAAACAGAAAAATGGATATGTGGAATACCTGCTGTATCTTTGGCACTAGTTGCTGCATTACATCATATTTTAAACGCCTCAAAATAAATGGTCCCAATATGGACTTCATACGAGAAATCAAATCCCTATCTTCCGAATTGAAAAGCTTTTTCAAGTCTACATCTCCAGTTTCAAAGACATCAGGCATCATAAATGCCAACAATGACCACAGTTCCTGCAATGAAAACCACCAAGTCAAAGAAAGCATTCCAAGTAACTGCACAATAGCAATACAAACTTCAAGATCAGATGTCATATTCTTTTATAAGTATCAAGAGTAGATATCATATAAAACATAAATGAAATTGCTCAAATTTCAATACATTAATAATCTGTGCTGACTTCAGAAAATAAAAGTTAGCCCTGACAAGTGAGAATTAATGACTATACAGTCATATTATCACCACAGGTCACTAAATCAATTTTATTATAAAGAATTCTTACAAAGAGCACAATTCAGTCATACCCATTTACAATCTAAATCTAATTTCTTATGGGTAGATGTTGCAGGTCAAATGCAAAGTTGGTATACGAAAAAAACATTGACAATGTTCAAAGCCTCTAGTAATTCTGTCATTATATGGGAAAGGTTAACAAACATCCAGCAATGAAATCGAAGATATATAATACAGATCAAATCTTCCAAAGATGTGGTTATGACTTATGAGCTCAAGGAAAACATGTCTTTCACAAAGAAACATTAACAATATTCAAAGCCTCTACTAGTTTTTGTCATTATATTGGAATGGTTAACAGATATCTAGCATTGGCATAAAAAAAAATGTAGCATATATATCACTTTACAGATCAAATCTTCCAAAGATATGGTTATGAGCTTGAAGAAAATATGTCCTGTAACAAAATGTAAGTGAGTTGTTTAATTCTTTTAGCTTTTCTTTTTTTGCCAGGTAAGCAAATGAGACTTTACAGAAAAATAGGCAATAATTACAGAAACAACAGGCATACACAAGTGAATATGCAAAAGCCATAGAGAGAGAGCATCTAAGAAGATGGATGAGAACCCTATGTGTAAATGACAACACAGGTACCAAAAGGGAAATTAGCAAAGAAACATGCAAAAGTTAGAAAAAGAATAACCATAAGAACCCAAGCAACCTGAGGCACATAACTAAATCTGGCTGCTAATTAAGATGGTAAATCATTATACCCAAAACAGAAAGAATATCTTGCAAGAAGTGAAGATATTTATCTTACTAGTTCTAATGTGGGTGCAAAATATAACCCAAGGAAAAGGAAGTTGTTGAACAACTACTTTGTTGACAATGTCTGGCACATGAGGCCACAACTGATTCATTTGCTACAATTACGCACATCAAATTGTTAGTATTCGTCGTATGTTATTTTTGTGTTAAGTTGAAGGTACTATGGTCATATTGTGGTAAAGTGTTTTACAAGCCAAAAACATATACGTCTTCCCTCCTTTCTTCTCTCCTTCTATAACCCTAACCTTAGTTTCACATATTTTACATTTCAACTTGTATCAGATCACCAATCGACCTCATCAAGTGTTCATTATAATCTGGAGATCGACGCAAGGTGACAATGATGTGCTGATATCATCATCTGTACGACAACATCAGCGTGACGTCATGATGAACAAATTGGGTTCTGTGAACTTATTCTGTGCACTTGTGTTTGTTGGTTGCGGATCATCGATTTGCAATTATGATCCTCTTTTTTTTATTTTTCCCTATTTGGTTATCTTCTATAGGTGCCAAAAACCCTATGGGAGGCTTCCCTTGCAATTAGTTTGTGGATTTGAGGTATTGGTTGGAGGGTTTTTCTGGATTTTGAGTTCGCCCCTGCCTGGGTCCTGACAAATCTCGATTTTTTTTTTTTTTTTTTTTTTTTGGGTATTCTTCTCTTGGAACTATTATATTTTAAGTTTTTTTGCTGACTTGTTTCTTTTTGGCGGGTGTTGAACTCTCACTGTGTTTTGAAACTATTGGTAAGATTACTTTTAGTTTATGGATCCTATTTCTTCTTTCCTTGAGAGCTTGCCTATATTTGTGTCCTGGTCATGTGCTAGTTGTCATGGCTGAGACAAAACCCCCCATGCTCAAGGATGATGAGTTGCCTATATCTATTACTACCAAGAAATTAAATGGTCTAAACTATCCAACATGGACTCATGCAGTAAAAGTGTTTTCGCATGGCAAGAAGTTGCGCTTTCTTAATGAACTTCCTCCTGATGCAGATGATAAAGCTTATGATGAGTGGCCCAGTGAGGATTTGTGTGTTATGGGTGGCTTTGGCATAGTTTGGAACCTCATATTTCTACTACAATGGAATTTTGTGAAACCTCTAAGCAAATTAGGCACTCCCTTGCAGAGTCATTTTCCAATCAAAGTAATGTTTCTCGAGTATATGAGTTGTATGAGCAAATCTTCGCTACTCAACAGTGTGGTAATTCCTTATTTGAATATTATGATAGCTTTACGACCTTGTGGGCTCAATTATTGCAACATAGACCCTTTACTACTAATTTGCAAAAATTGAGAGGAGTTTATGATGGCATCCTTACTTTGTGCAAAGAGGTGAAAATTCAAACTTTGAATTTTCCGCCAAAGTCATTCCTTTGCTCGTAGTTTGTCTTGTCTTTGCATTCCATCTTATCAGTAGGCTATGTCCATGTTGTGTTGAAAGCATACTATGGATGAGGAAATGAGTGCTCTTCATCAGAATCAACCTTGAGCTTATCCCTCTTCATTTTGGGAAAGTTATTGTTGGTTGTAGTTGGATTTATACTGTGAAATATCTTCCTAACGGTAATGGTACTATTGAAGGGCTTAAGGCACGCCTAGTGGCCAAATGCTACACATAAATCTATGGTGTTATCTGTTCAAATTCTTCTTTATTGCAATCAGTCAGTCTTAGCCTTTATATGATGCTTGATATAAAGAATGTCTTTCTTTATGGAGACCTACAAGCAAGGTTCTGAAAAGCGGTTGCTGTCGCTGTAACAGTGGCGGTGACGCGGTTGCGGTTGCGGTTGCTGGGTGTAAAGGCTGTAGTGTACCAGTTGCGGTAACCGAAACCGTGAATTTTTTTATTTTTCGCACAATTTGAAAAAACTTACCGATAGGCATATTTTTTTTCCATGATCATATTTATTGGGTTAAAAATAAATATTGATCAATTTTTGTAAATTTTTAAGTATGATCCAATATATTTCATATTTTTAAATCACTATAAACTGAGTTTTTTACGTTTTATTTTAATAATTAATGACTTTATATTATACAAAAAATCAATCACTAACTATCATATATAAGATAAACAATGACAAAAATATGAGAATAAATAAGAGTCTAAATATATATATATATATACACATATTTTAACCAAGCCAAATAGATAATGACCACACTTATTATTATTATTATTATTTTCAAACAATATATCTAGATAGACACACACAAACAAAATGGTTTAGTAATAGCAGTTGAATAGAATAGCATAGATCTTACAGCTTAAACAAATCAGTAACATGTTCTTCATCTTCCCTCCTCACTCTCTATCTCTTGCTCCTTCATTTTCTCTCTATCCCTCTTCCCCCATTTTTAGCTTTTTTTTGTGTGTTTTTTCGAAAGAAACAGTTTGGAACCGTTACGTAACGGTGCGTAACAGGCCGTTACGGCTATTACAGCACCGTTACAACTACTACGGCAACCGCTATGGCCGACACACCTGTGAATCGCAATCACACTACAAAAGCGGCCATAACGGGTGGCGGTAACCGCCAAAACCGTTACGTAACGGCGTTACATAACGGTTGCGGCCGCTTTTTAAAACCTTGCCTACAAGAGAAGCTATATGGATTAGTTACCTGGCTATGTTGTTCTTGGTAGTGAGCATCTTTTGTTTGTCGGTTGCGAAAGTTTCTGTATAGTCTTAAGCAATCTCCTCATGTTTAATTTGATCGCTTCAGTGTAATTGTCCTGGCATATAGACTTCGTCGTTCTACTTCTTATCAATTTGTCTGTGTTCATCACTCTAATGGGATTATCGTTCTAATTGTATATGTGGATGACATCATCACTCCTAGCAATGACTCCACTAATATTGCTGATTTGAAACATTATTTAGGTCAACAATTTCACGATAAGGACTTGGGTCATCTCCGGTATTTTCTTAGAGTCGAGGTTGCTCATTCTTCCAGGGGACTATTTTCTCTCTCAATGCAAGTAAGTCGTCTTCTCTTTGAGACTGGTCTCAGTGCATATGTTTAAAATTATGGTTTTTTTCAATGAATATAAACATTATTTTCCAACACAATCTCACACTCTTCTCTTTATAGTAGCTCTTATTCCAACATAAGACATCTGTGCACTATATAGAAGCAGTTTTGCAGAGCAACCATTAGTTAATTAAATCAGCTTTGTAATGATGCAGTGCAAAGCAACCATTTCTTTGTTGAATTGTATACTACATAATATCCATTTTAGTAACTTAAACAAAGGCTATCACCAGTACCATACATGTAAATCATTTTGCAGTGGTGTCCCTGTAAGCATCAGACGCTGGTTGGCACTCCGCGCAATAGACATTAGGTTTTTCCACCTGTAGCTGTTTTTATCCTTCAATGCATGAGCCTCATCCATTAGCACACAACTCCACCGCCAAGATTTCAAAATTTTACGGTCATCTTTCTGCTGCATACTGCCAAAAGAGCATAATGATAAGAATAAAACTAATACCAAATGAACATACATAACATTGGCCTGGAAATTAAGGTAAAGCAAACCTGTGTCGTTCGAAAAGTGAGTAACACACAAGAATAACATTAAATGGAGGTGGCAATCCAGCCTTGGCCAGAGAGCTCAGCTCTCTTGAATATGCCGATCGCGCAGCCCCATGATACTGGAGAACAGAAAATGAGGGACACCACTTTTTCAGCTCCCTTTCCCAGTTCTCCAAAACAGAAGCAGGGCATACTATTAAATGGGGACCTGGATCATCTTCCAAGTGTTTCAACAAGGTTAAATATGTTATAGCCTGCTTGAAATCAGAAACATCACAATTTTTAATTATTAGGATGATAAATTTACAATCAGTATTGCTCATCAAAAAAAATTACAATCAATAACAAAGCAAAGGCAAATGAGTCTAGAGCTCAACTAACCTGAATTGTTTTACCAAGACCCATCTCATCTGCCAATATTGCTGCATGGAATAATAAATGTAAGGCATCAATTACTCTTAGAAACTAGCCTAGGATCATGTACACTACTCTCAGATATATATCAAACACCCAATCAACACTTTAATTACGGTTTCAGTAAGTCAAAATAGGTTTCAGCACATCCAGTTCTAACATGTCCCATCTAAAAATAAAAATAAAAAGAAAAAGTTCTAACATGCAAGATAATCAGAACAAACTACTAAGGAGCACATGTTATATGGAAGAACTCATTTCGCAATTCAGAATGCAGTCAAAGGAGTACCACCCTTAATTGCACGAAGCAAAAGTGGAAGTGGGGCAGGCCAAGGTTGGAAGCGGGGGGGCACATAGAACATTCTAAGGTTGGGATTGCCAATGGAAAGAATTATATATTTGATATAAGTATATTAACATATTGTAAGAATTTTTATTTTTTTTTTTTTTGGCTTAGTTGTAATATATATATATATATATATATTTTAAAATATTAATAAATATTGGAGATCGGTGTCAATGGAGAATTGTTTTTGTAAATATAAATAGATATTATGTATATGTGAAGTAATAGATTAAATTTGAGTTTTTTTCCCCTATAATCTGATGGGCTACGTATTTTCTCTTACTTGGTAGCTTCTTTTTTTTTTTATATTTCTTTGTGATTTATTTGTTCAAGAGATTCTATCCCACTTGCAAACACGTTCTTTCTTTATGGGAACGCATTTCTCACTTGATTCTTGCTATGAATCACGGAATTGAGGTTATGGAGCAGATTGGTCAACCCCCAATAGGAGGTTCCTGCAACTAAGATACCACCGATATAACAAAGGCATCAAGAAACATATAACAATAAAAAATTATAATGATTGCATTCACAGGGGTAGACCTGTTGATAGAGGCAGTTTATGGGCGGAGTTGTCTCATGTTCATTCTAGCTGGAATTGTCCTTGGTGTATTGGATGGGTGTTTAATGTGATAAGATATCATAGTGAGAGAGATTGGGTTGTCTGTTGATTTCTAGTGAGTTTTTTCAGATTTTATTGCGAGAGAGGCACTGGTGGACCTGACTTTGGAAGGGGGAAGATATATGTCGAGCAGTGGACCTCTATGTCCAAGATCAATAGAGTTTGGTGTCCACTGATTGAGAGGAGTGCTTTCCAGATGTTTTTCAGTCTTTTTAGTCTCATATCATGTTCAGAATATGTAGATTGTTCAGGATTGTGTTTGGACCCAAGCCCCTTCAAGTTTGTGAATATGTGGCTTAGGTAGGAAGGCTTCATTGATTTGGTTAAAGGCTGGTGGGAAGGTTACAAGGTAGAGGGCTCATCGAACAACTATCTGGACAGGAATTTTGAAATTTTCAAAAGACAAAGAGATGGAACTGGGAAGTGTTTGGTAAGAGGGGTGTGAGGATAGCAAAACTTTTAGGTCAGATCAGATATATTGATCATAATGAGGGTAAAGATGACAATTCAAAAGTCGAGTAAGTGGAAAGGGCATAGATGAAAACAGAGGTTGGAAGACTTATGATTTTAGAGAAGATTTGCCGAAATTATAAGGCTATAGAATTATTGCTTAATCAAGGAAAAAGGAACAAACACACGCTTTTTTCACATGATGGCTAATGCACATAGGAGAGCTAATCAAATCCTCAAATTCCCAGAATAAGCTTTATGCCACCTTCGACTCTACTTTCCTACAAGCTTCTAAACTCTCATTCCCCTCTTTTTCCACAAGGTGCGCTTGGTAGAAAGATTGTATGTATGAGTCCTAAGTACTCTAAAAATTCAGACTTTGGGGTTTCTACCCTTTCGCTAAGGTCCTAAACTTGATAGGCAAGTTCATCCTATTCTTCTTCATTTTGAGCCAATCATAATACATCTCAATATAGGCCTCCTGAATTGACTCCTCATTCTCATTATCTGAAAACCCAACTTCTTTAGAGCACTCCCTTTGGAGCCAGCTCACCTCACTAGTCTCACTGTCTTTCTTCCTAAGCTTATGTTAGCAACAAGGGCCACAACATTTTCCAAGTCCACTAGAACATCAAAACAAGAAGACTTCCCCTCACTAGCGTCAGTATCACTCCATTTAGCTACTCAGCCCTTAGCCTTAGTCTTTTTTTTATTAGGACACTCATTAGCTATGTAAGCAAATCCTTAAAACTTATACTGACACCATGGGATTTCTTAACTTTGCTACTTTGGGACTTCTTTTCATTCTTACCCTGATTGGACTTTAAAATCTGCTCTTTCCTAGAAGACATGGCTAAGAAGTATGGTCATGGATACATTATACAAAATGAACAGGATAACCCGGTAATTTTCAAATTATTGTATGAAACAACACATGGGGAACACACAATATACAAGTTTATATATCTAATATGTCATATGTAGATACACCATTCAAATATATATATATATAATAAAACAAAAGCACCATAATACTAATTCCTATAAAAATACATTGCTTTTCTTTTATTATTGTATCTCAAGTAATTTTCTGCAAATTTATAATTAGTTTTATGTATATCCAAGCGATAGACACGTGTGTCCCCTGTCCAAAGAGTGTACCAATCTACAAAAATTTAAAAACTAACAAGACACATTTGGACGCATGTTCAACAAGTGTCAAGAAGCATCCGACGAGTGTCGATGTCCGACACATGTCAGAAACGGACATGTCACCTTCTCAAAAGTATCTGTGCTTCTTAGAGATGTGGAATTGCTACCTTTTTTGAGTTTGATGAACCCTTAAAATTTCTTCATAATTCTAATTAAGTCCTCTTCACCTATGTCACCATCATAAGAGAAGACTACATCCTCTCCAATAGCTTTGAAAGCCATTCGACTTCTTAGGTGGGCACATATTCCAGTTCAACTCAGGCTTGAAGGGATTCTAAATCCTTGATCTCTTCTATAGCAACGACCTTAGCCTAAAAAAGTTTAGGGGGAGACCAGAGGACCTTCCTCACAATCTTGGTTTCACTCGCGGGTTCCTTTAGGCTGCAACTGGAATTGACAATGTCACCAAGTCTAACATAAAACTCATCAAACGTCTATGAAGCACAGGTACTCTAAAAATGTTGCCGTACAAGTACCGGGTAGTTACCAGATGCGGCTATGCATACCAGGTACGGCAAAAATGCACCAAGCACGTTTTATGCGATCAGCTAGTACGCAATGGGTACGTTTTTGGGTACGCCGGAGTAAAAAACGAAATTTTTCTGCAATTTCAAGGGTATCGAAGCAATTTTTTTGTCCATTTCAAAAAATTAAATAAATTTGGGGTTCTTTTGTAATAATTAAAACATGAAACAAATTGAAATTAGGTTTACTTGGTTCGATTCGATTATCTCCTTCGAAAAAATACAGTCAACTCCAAGAGAGAAACGGTCAGTGATTGAAAAACTCCTTTGAAGGTGCTGATTCTCTCCTTCGAATAACACACTCCGGTGAGTTTCTCTTCAATTCTTCCTCTTCTTCAATTCTTCTTCCTCTTTCTTTCATTTTTTTTTTCAGATTTTTTTCTCTTTCTTCGCAGCAAATAAAGAGGTCTGTCGTTTTTTTTCCTTCGTTTTTCTTCGATTCTTCTTCCATTTTTTTTCAGATTTTTATTTTCTTTCTTCACAACAAACAAATTGATTTGCCCTCTTTTCTTTTTTTTCCTTCGTTTTTCTTTGATTCCTCTTCTTCTTCCATTTTTTTTTTCAGATTTTTATTTTTTTTCTTCGCAGCAAACGAATTGATCTGCCCTCTTTTCTTTTTTTCCTTCGTTTTTTTTATTCGATTCTCTCCTTTGATTTTCTCTTTCTTTCATTTGATTCTTATTCCTCTTTCTTGAACTCTCCATTTTTTTTTTAACATATATTTTTTATATTTTTTCCCCACAACCACTAGAATTTCATGTAACTTGCAAGTCTAGAGCCTTCTCTTTAATCATCTTCAAAAAAAAAAAAAAAAAAAAAGGAAGAAAAGGTAATGTAGAATCACCCACGCTGTTATTTAACTTTGCCCATTTCTGTTGTAGATTGTAGTAGACACAATCAGAAAATTGTAAGTTAAATATTTGAAAAATCATATACTTGAATGAAGTGAGAGAATTCACAAATTATTTTGTTGATGGTTATATTACAGGAATATGAGTTCATCATGAAGTATAGGTTCAACTGCAAGTGCCCCTTCTATTGATACTAATCAAACTAGGGATGAAAATGCTCCTTTTTGAGGTTACGTTATGAAAATAGCTAAAAAGGGTGAAAGCATAAGTGGTAATACCAAATTTCGGTGTAATTATTGTAATATTGAGTTTCAAGGTTCATACTATAGAGTCAAAGCACATTTGTTGCTACTTTCTGGGCATGGAATTATAGTGTGTGCATTTGTGAAGAACAGGCCTGATCTTCTTGCTGAAATGCGAAAGGCAGATAAAGAAGCTGAGAATAGGAAAAAGATGACAAAGCTTAAAGATGTTCCTTTACCTCCTCCTTCCCGAATTAGTCCTAGCGTAAGAGTGGTAGGGGATGTTGGAACATTTAGATTGGATGGCTATGAACCAAAAAAAGAGAGACAAGTGGAAGTAGTGCCTTAGATAAAACATTCAATCAAGGTGCTTGAGAACATTTACATTCTTTAATTGCTCGCATGTTCTATTTAGCTGGTTGCCCTTTCATTTGGTTAGGAATCCATATTTTGTGGGTGCTTTTAAATTTGCTGCTGAGAATCAAATTATAGGGTTTGTCCCTCCTGGTTACAACTTATTGAGGATTACTCTACTTCAAAAAAGAAAGAGCAAATATTGACATGTTGGAACCAACAAACAATCATGGAATCAAAAGGAGTTGAGTGTAGTAGCCGATGGATGCACCGATACACAAAGGAGACCTCTTATCAATCTCATGGTAGCATCTAATGGTGGAGCTATGTTTGTAAGAGCTGTTAATTGTGAAGGTGAGTACAAAGACAAGTATCATGTTGCTAAATTAATTAGTGATGTGATTGAT